GGGGCTACTAGTCCTAAGGGGGATTGGTTATGGTAGTGATTTTCGGTGATAACCTATGTGGCGTTACAAGTTGTGTCTTACACGTTCTCCTTGAAAAGCAAGAAAGACAATAAGACCCTAGGGTGTAAGACCCAAAAGGTTCTCCGGAGATGGTTTATGCGTGAATCGGTATGATTAATTATATTGTCCGTATGCAAGACATGCATGATATTTGCTATGATGGTTTGACTTAAAACGTATAAACCTTTAATTTATACGTTGTATATTTCTAATAATGATGTGTTGGAAGATTTTTATAAATGTTATACTTATAATCTTGTTCCTAAAAGTTTTCATTCCTTATTCGTATTGTTTGTAAAATGTTGATATTTAAAACTTCGTAAATGTTTGAGAAAAAGATTATTCTACTAAGCGTGTAGTTGCTCGCTCATGTCATTTAACATTTTCAGTTATGGGTATATGTTGGTGGGCTGCATAGTGGGACTATCGAGGCGGAAGATAATTGTTATGATTTTTATATATTTAGTTAGAGTACGTAAAGAACAATGTACGATAATATATAATATTGAGGAATTGTAAGTGATTTATATCTTAGTTAATTTGAGGAAATATGTATAGATTGAGACATTTTTAATGGTTTACTTATAAAGATTTTAGATATTTTAGATATTATATTTATGACGAAGAATTTTGGATAATTAGATTATAATCCGAGTTTGAGAGGACTTCATGAGCCTCTATTTGCCACCCCGATATTGAACGGTAATAACTTATTTGTGGATATCATGAGAAGGGATGTATATGATTGATATGATATAAATGACTAGTTAGGTATAATTATTATGTTTAATGCTCTCACACGTACCTTTCACCAATTATCTAGATGTCAGATGTTCAAAGAAAACTCTGTCAAAATTTTCTAAAAAAATAATTTATTTAAACTAAAGAGATATTTTTTTAGATGTTTTTACAACAAACTAAAATTTGTTTTTGAAACAAACAAAATAATTTTTTTAATCACGCTTTTGTGAAATTTAGGGCGTGACAAGTGATGGTTATTGTAGTTGTGGTGGGGCGATGGTGGGGTGGTGATGGGACTGTGGGTGTGGTGATGGTGATGTTGATGGTGATGGGGTAGAGGCAGGGGTGGTGACAACGATGGGTGGTGGTGATGGTGATGGGGGGTGATGGTCGGGAGTAGTTGTGGTGGTGGTGGTGGTAGTGGTGGGGCAGTGGGGGTGATGGTGTGGTGGGGCGGTTACAAACATTAATTTTTTTTAATATTTATGAGAAATTATAAGTTTTAGAAACACTTTAAAAAAGTTATCCCAAACAAACTCTTAAGGACTTATTTTCTCTATTAAATTTGAGGTGTTAATATTAGTCATCATATTAACTTTAAAATAAAATTTAAATAGATCTCAACTGCAAAAAGAAAAAATCATTTTGTTTATCTATTGAAATTTAAATAGTATTGTACTTTATTATATAAATTATCTATTTTGAAAACTTAAATTATTACCAAGAGTGTAACTTAAAATATTTATACTTCAAAACATGAGATATAGAACAATGACAAATGTTAATCAGTCTAAAAGATACATTGTCGGTTAAGTCCAAAAAAATCTTTCACACAATAGAGGCAAAATTGCATACATTTTTTTTTTTGTCTTTCACATCTCAACATAGGTGTGAGCTTCGGGTACGACTTTAAATTTTTAGCTTTGACCCAAAAAACAAAAAACAAAAAATTCGTTGGGTTGCTCTTCTACGAAGAAAAAGAAGCCATTTGCTTATTCTTGGTCAGTTGAGTGTTTATAAAGCTAAGGTTGATTTTCCAAATCCGTGTGGTTTATGTACGAATGTCCTATTTTAGCAGAAGCAACATATTCATTTTACAACTTTAAACAGATAGAGTACACGCTTTCAATTTTCTGTTGTTTGAAGTTTCATACATACCACATAAAATAAAAAATAAAAAATAAAATTCAAGCATAGAGATACTTGACCCAATTGTGGTGTATTAGGTTGGCCCCATTTTTCAATACAACTTGGGTTGGATTTAGGTGTTTTGCCTCATGATTGTTGAAATGTTGTTAATCCTCTTGGTACATTGTATTATGTCGAGTTCCTCCCTTAGGAAAATTGATCTGAATTTTTTTGTCGGTAATATTTCAGATACTTGAGAAAATGTCTTTATAATTAGACTAATCTAGAAAGTGTGTCATTATAGTTTACTTCGATTGATGTTCAATGCAAATAAAATAAAAGTACTGAAGAATCTTATATTATTTGAAGCCGACGTGACAAATTGATGTTCGAGTCACATGCTAGAGCCTGGATTTGCTTTCCATGTTTTGGGTTGAACAACGAAGCTTCCTGCTTCATAGATTTTTATTTTATTTTATTTGCTCTGAAGTAATAATAAGGTTGACCACGCGGTTTGTATAAATGTACACCCATTTTTCTTTTTCTTTATTTATTTTTTCTTTTTTCTATATTCAAAGTCAAATGGGAGGCATGTGATATATATTTTAATTATATATTCTCCTGCATTTTGATATTAGATAATATATCATAAATAGTTCTTAAACTTTGTTTCCTGTTTTAAAAGGTGCCTCAACTTTAAATTGTTTTAATTTAATCTTTTAATTATTAATTTTGTGTCAATTAAATCTTTCGATTAAAATAAAAGGAGACACATGACATGAACGATCACATGATAAATACGTGCATTTGCCCTTGTTTGTTATAACGGGAGAAACACAGAGGAGCATACACATCCACAAAACACACATAGACACACATAGACTCACACCCGCATTAAAGGGGGGGGGGGGGGGGTTGTTTCCTTTATTTTTTATTTTGCCTTGAAAACTCAGAAAATATTATTTGAAGCCGACGTGACAAATTGATGTTCGAGTCACATGCTAGAGCCTGGATTTGCTTTCCATGTTTTGGGTTGAACAATGAAGCTTCCTGCTTCATAGATTTTTATTTTATTTTATTTGCATTGAAGTAATAATAAGGTTGACCACGCGGTTTGTATAAATGTACACCCATTTTTTCTTTTTCTTTATTTATTTTTTCTTTTTTCTATATTCAAAGTCAAATGGGAGGCATGTGATATATATTTTAATTATATATTCTCCTGCATTTTGATATTAGATAATATATCATAAATAGTTCTTAAACTTTGTTTCCTGTTTTAAAAGGTGTCAACTTTAAATTGTTTTAATTTAATCTTTTAATTATTAATTTTGTGTCAATTAAATCTTTCGATTAAAATAAAAGGAGACACATGACATGAACAATCACATGATAAATACGAGCATTTGTCCTTGTTTGTTATAACGGGAGAAATACAGAGGAGCATACCCATCCACAAAACACACATAGACTCACACCCGCATTAAAGGGGAGGGGGGTTGTTTCCTTTATTTTTTATTTTGCCTTGAAAACTCAGAAAATATTATTTAGATGTCTCTAGTTTTTCTAAACAACATCTCAAAAGTTTTATTGTCTTTGAGAACAAAAAACTATTTTTTGGAGACACGAACCAAACAATCCATTGTATTTATTTCTTGCTGACGTGACAAAGTGATGGTCCCGTCACATGCTGATTGGTCTTTACACGTGGGTAGAATAAAAAATAAAAATAATAAATATAAACTCAATTTGTTAATCTAATAGTAAGAATCAGCATTTAATCCAATAATAACAAAAATACTAAGAATTCACTATAAATTAATTTAATAATAATAAATAATTAAGTCAATAAATAAGAACTAATAGCATTAGTCAAGGAAGCCTTATTTCAAACACAAGTTGAAAAATCTACGCCCAGTTGCCATGATTGATTGATTTTTAAAAAAAATTGGGTTCGCATCGAGGCGGATTCGGATTACCTTTTTTTTGGTTGCGGATTGATCGGTTTATACTAATTATTCTCTTGAATTCAGTAATGGTTATCGTAATTTGAATTGAGTTAGATCATGTTCTTAAAAAATAATAGTAGTTGACCTTTAAATGGTGTAAGAAAGAATTGAATGTAAGACTTCTAACTTATTAAAGGTCAAATTCAACTACTGAACCCTTCCAGCGTTTTTGTTTTGACTTAATATACTATTTTTTGATTGATTTAGTTCTACATCATATATCCTGAATTCAAAATGAATTACTGTTATATTTAAGTAAGCACGAGCTGTGGTAGTTATAAAAATTCGAATCCAAGTATCAAACAATAAAATTTAAATTCTTAGTTGATGGACCAATAACTCAATAATAATAGGTCTATTATACTGGGGACCAAACTAATATTACGAAATATTGAAAAAAAACATATTGAAAAAAATCCGGATACCAACAATACAATCAACCTTGTGAGCTAGTGATTTAGTTGTTCTTTGTTGCTTATTTTTCATCCATTAAAATTTAAATTATCTGTACTAATTAATCGCATTGGGAAAAAAAGTGAGTCGAGGATTTTATAAAACGTGTAGTTTATCATATACACTATGTATAATAGTAACTTGAAGATGGAATGACTGACCAAGTCAATGCCATTGGTTGATTTCAAGCCAATTTGATGCGTACCAAAAGCAATAACCAATCCGATAAATTTTTTTTTTTTGGGCAAGTGAAAAGGAACGGGAAGCTAAAGGAAAGATCAGAGTTATTTCGGTATAAATCGGTTAAAATATCATTATCTTTAAAAAGAGTAATACTATTTGAACTTAAAAATTTGATCTAATTTGTTGATATAATGATATAATTTTATAAGAATTATTAGATCAACACAAAATTTTAATGTTTGATAAGATCTGTCCGCCATCTGTGGTCCACTCGCCAGTTTTTTATTCCAATCTCTGAATATTCGCTTTTAATTTTGGTAAAATCTTTGACATGTTCTTGCATTGGCCGCTCTAGTTTGACTAAAGCTTGGCTTAAGAGATAAATTGTACAGATATATATATTGGACAATCAATCAGTGAAACTACAAGGCAATCAAGCAAACATTTCTTCGTGGGTGAAGCAAACAACTACTCACGAGTAAAACTTTTCAGTTTATTCAGTTAATAGTTTCAGCAAGCTTTCCCGGGATTAGCCATGGTTGAGGTTTTTAAATGCAGAAGTTCTGTGATAAAGTTTCTGGTCTTATGCCTCTGCATTTTTCTAGCAGCTGTTCCGTCGGTCGAGGGTCGAATCCGCCGGTACAAATGGGAGGTGAAGTATGAGTATAAGTCTCCTGATTGTTATAAGAAACTTTCCATCACCATCAACGGTAGAACACCAGGGCCCACAATATTGGCACAGCAAGGTGATACAGTCATCGTCGAGCTCAAGAACAGTTTGTTAACCGAGAATGTCGCCATTCATTGGCATGGAATTCGACAGGTGAAAAACTCAATACTTTTCTTCTACCTTTTGATAGTCACCACTCAAAATCGTGTGGTATATTTAACTAATAACATAATAGAAAAAATAAATAACACCCAGTTTAGTTCTCGTTAATAAGGTTCTGGGAGGGCCATATGATAGTTTAACACGCATCTGTTTGGTTGCTGCAGATTGGAACACCATGGTTTGATGGAACGGAAGGGGTGACTCAGTGCCCAATTTTGCCAGGAGACACCTTCGTATACCAGTTTGTTGTGGATAGAGTAAGTGATCTAAAGTGGCCTTAAACCTATGCACAATGAGAAGCAAGAGTTCTTGTAATTAACGTTTTAACTTCAGCGAATCAGCTAGCTTTCAGCTTCATTCATATAGTGAATCTTAATTTGCTTTGAACATTATTCAGGCTGGGACATATTTGTACCATGCGCATTATGGAATGCAAAGAGAAGCCGGCCTATATGGATCTATCCGCGTCTCCCTTCCAGATGGAGAATCCGAGCCCTTTGCCTATGATTATGATCGAAGCATTCTTCTCACAGATTGGTACCACAAGAGCGCATATGAACAGGCCACTGGATTGTCTTCAATTCCCTTTGTTTGGGTTGGTGAGCCTCAGGTAAATATGTCATTAGCTTCCCAAGATTATTTTGAATTAGATAATGAACTCTACGCTTGTACATAAAACTAATCGCTTAATTAAATAATAGAGGAAACAGACAGGGATTTGTATTAAGAAATACACGTCATACATCAGGATAAATTGCTAATGTTTTTACTTTTTCAAAATTTTCAGTCTATTCTGATACAAGGAAGAGGGAGGTTCGACTGCAGCTTACCAACCATTGAATCCGGTCTTTGTAACGCGACAAATCCTGAATGTTCGCCCTATGTTTTGACTGTAGTTCCTGGAAAAACATATCGTCTGAGGATCGGAAGCTTGACTGCTCTATCGGCTTTAAGTTTCGAAATAGAGGTAAATTTCATAGCACCCCACGAGGAATCTCAATTTTTTTTAAGTGAATATCACTTAAATTAATCATTGCTAATATTTCAATTCACTGATGCAGGGCCATAATATGACTATTGTTGAAGCTGATGGCCACAATGTTGAGCCAGTTGTGGTAAAAAATCTGTTCATTTACTCGGGTGAGACATACTCAGTCTTAATAACAGCTGATCAAGACCCCAGACGAAATTATTGGGCTAGTGCAAAAATTGTTAGCCGGAATGGCAACACTTCAAATGGTCTAGCCATCTTCAATTACTATCCCAACAATCCTAGAAGACCCCCTCCAACAGTTCCACCCACAGGTCCCACTTGGAATGACAGTGCATCAAGATTGGCTCAAAGTCAAGCCATCAACGCTCACGCAGGTTACGTCGTCCCTGCCCCTCGGACCTCAGATAGAGTAATTGTGTTACTTAACACACAAAACAGGATCAATGGCTATGTCCGGTGGTCGGTGAATAACGTCTCTTTTCACCTTCCACATACCCCCTATCTGATTGCTCTTAAGGAGAATTTGAAGCATGTTTTCGAGCAAACCCCACCTCCTAATGGCTATGATTTTGCAAACTACGATATCTACAACATCGCGAAGAATGTCAATGCTACTTCTAGCAACTCCATTTACAGGTTGCAGTTCAATACTACAGTGGATATTATTCTTCAAAATGCAAACACAATGAACCCGAACAATAGTGAGACACATCCATGGCATCTCCATGGGCATGATTTTTGGGTTTTGGGCTATGGGACAGGCAAATTTGACATTTACAATGATCCGAAGAAGTACAACCTGGTCAATCCTATTATGAAGAACACTGTGGCTGTTCAGCCTTATAGTTGGACTGCTTTGAGGTTTCGGGCTGATAATCCGGGAGTCTGGGCTTTTCATTGCCATATTGAATCTCATTTCCACATGGGTATGGGAGTGGTGTTTGAAGAAGGGATTGACAAGGTGGGTAAATTGCCCACTTCTATAATGGGATGTGGTGATACCAAACGTTTCCTAAGGCCATAGATTGAGGGAACTATACATTAACTTGACTAGTACATTAGAAATAATTTTTTTGTGGAAACTTATGTTCACAATTTGTTGTAAGTCGTCATGGTCAACAACCGCTTTTTTTGTTTTTGTTTTTTTAACCTTATCAATCTCAATCATGTATGTGAAGGAGGAGTTTGGTTTACATGTTATTCAATGTATATTGAAACAAAATATCAACTTCATTTTTTAGAAATTCTCTCTCTCAAAACATGAATTTCCAGGAAGATATGGATTTTTCCCACTCCCGCATGACTTTGAATTCTCTCCCGAAGACCAGTCTTAAATGAATTTTATCCCTTGTAGGTATAGTCCGTGGAAATTTAGTAGTGAAATGTCATCGTCTTCTAGATGTTAGAAAATGAAGAGTAGAAAAATGAAGAAGGCGGGAAAACAGAGAGAGCTAAGTCATGGAGAAAGTTTCTGCAAATTCTTCATATTCAATCAATGAACACATTACATACGATGATATTTATACACAATTCCTCAATAACCTAATTGACTATGTACATGACGTCACATGCCTTCACATGGCTAGTTTCAGCTCAGCAAGAGACCAACAAATTAGCTAACTAACTATCTAACACATTAGCTAACCAACTAACTAATTAATAATGTTATTGATGATACCTCAAACAAGTTTTAGTTGTGAGCTCATGTCAGAAGGTCAGATCAGGAGGTCAGGAAAGACACGAGAAACTCAGAGAACTAGGGGTGGAGCTCCCCTTGGAGAGATCGTAGCAGAACCGACCAGGAAACAATTGGATGACTGTGAAAATTGGGTCTCATACATGAAACTCTCAACCAACCAAGATTCTCTGCTAGAATCAAAGAGGATCCCATGAATAATGGCAAAGATCTTGGCTGAGATTCCACAGAATAGGGGGCAGCCTTATAACTACTATGTAACACCTCATCGAGATGGAGGGCAAAAAGAGAACCCTAATTGGATTATGCACTATCTTGTATTACATTCAAATAATCAATAGAGAAGAAAAGGAGCAAGAGCCTCCATTTGAGAGTGGATTAGCCGAGCTCCAGAGCGGGTGAACCGCTATATTCTTACTATGCAATTTTCCCTATCCCCTAAGAAACACTTCATCACTGCCATTACGAAGTTGGCAGCCTAACTTCACCGTTGGTCCCACGCACTCTGTTCACCCACATTAGTCTACACTATCAGTTTGACATCGTCTATGGGAACGACTGTTCCTATTACAAATAAGCTGATCTTTCAGTGATTGATGGTGTCAACATGAAACATGAGCAGAAGCCAAACAAACCCATCTCGGATGTAGGACCAACAGGGAGCCACCAATGGCAGACAGCCTGAGAACGTCCCAGAAACTGATCCTCCCATGGAGAATTCCCCCACAAATAACAACATGGAGCCCATTCGCCTTGTCAATCAGTGCTTGATAAAGCAAAACGAGGAGCTCTTGAAGCTCTTATAGTGCCCACAAGAGGCACGTCCAGCCCAAGAAGGTCAGAACAGTCCCCATTACAGGGATCAACAACACCTTGATCCATTCAGAGAAGACAACGAAAGAGGGGAGAACAGCCAGACGTTGGGGCAGGTTCCCCAACTATCCCCTAGGAATGGCCACAATGAGGAAGTACAAAGTTAAAACCATGAAGGTAAAAAAAATAATGTCTTCCCTTATCAGCATGAGAGAAGGGAGCAATATTGGGAGCAACGCTTCAAGGGCATCCAATAGGAGCTCAACCACATGAAGGAAGCGGTCAGAAGTAAAGCTCCAGTTACAATGGACGCCTTGGTGCAACAGACTGAATCTCCATTCATGCTTGGGGTGTTGCATTTTCCCCTCCCACCAAAGTTTAGAATGCCATAGATAGAGTCCTTTGATGAAACTAGGGACCCCATGGACCACCTCAATACTTATAAGAACCAGATGGAATTGCACGGGTACTAGGACCCCATACGCTGTCGAGCCTTTGCCATCACTTTGAAGGGTTCAACCTTGGCGTGGTTTAACAGGCTCTTCCCGGCCTCAATCTTTTCCTTCAAAAAGCTTTCTATTTCCTTCGTATCCCACTTCATAGGGGCTCGAACCTATAAAAAGCCGAGCTATCACCTTTTGAATGTGAAACAAAGACTACAAGAAAATCTCAGGTCATATGTCCAAAGATTTAATTTGGAGTCGTTAAAGGTGGATGTCCCAGATGAAAAGTTTGCCATCATTGCCTTCATAGCTGGACTAGGGGTGCAGTCTAAAGATTTGATGTTCTCCATATCAAAAAATCCCTAAGCAAGCATGGCCAAGGTATTTGCCAAAGCGGAGAAATACATAAATGGCGAAGAAGCTCTTCTTTCTAAGGTAGGGAGCTCTTCCGCACATAGAGACAAGGGAAAGGAAGAGAAAAAGAGAAACCGAAGTCCCAGGAGAGAGAGGGAAAGAAACAAATCTCCAAAGAGAGATAGATCTCCTACAAGAGATAAAAAGCGATCCCCAAAAAGAAGGGGGAACATTAGGGACCGCTTAGGCCTCCCGCAGCCTGAACTACAGTCGAGGTATGCACCTCAACAATATACCCCTCTCACTGCGACAGTGTCCCAGATCCTATACGAGGTGCAGAACGAGAAATTCCTAAGGTGGCCTCCACGAATGAAGGCAGATCCATCTAAAAGAGACCCTACAAGATATTGCGAGTATCATAGGGATCATGACCATCATACCGATTATTGTATTCAGCTAAAGAAGGAGATCGAGTTCTTGATCTAGAGGGGATAGTTACGAAGATTTGTCACCCATGACAACCAGAACAGGGCTCCACCACCACCGGCACCCCAACAACAAGCCCCTGCGCAGCACCAGCAACCCTTAGGCGATATTAGAGTGATATCTGAAGGATTTGCTGGTGATGGAAAATCCAGTGAAGCCAGGAAAGCACACCTGCGCAGGATTAGAGCTGGCAAAGTGCTGAAAGTACACACTGTGTCCAAAATACCTCGGCTGAGCACAACCATCACTTTTTTGGATTCAGACTTGGAAGGCTGTTAGTATCCCCATGATGACCCGTTGGTCGTAAGGGCCATTGTGGCTAACCAAACTGTTCATCGAGTTTTAATTGACAATGGGAGCTCGGCCGACATCATTTTCGCCTCTGCCTTTGACAAAATGGGCATAGGAAGGGAGAAGCTTGAGCCAGTGAGTGCTCACTTGATGGGGTTCTCAGGGGAGAGGGTGCTACCCCTGGGATCCATCAAACTCGTGCTCACTATGGGAGACCCTCCTTGTCAAGCCACCACCACTGTGAAATTCCAGGTAGTTGACGCCCCTTCTACGTATAATATACTACTTGGGAGACCATCCCTCAATGCAATGAAGGCTATCCCCTCAGCATATCACCTGGTCGTAAAATTTCCTACAGAAAATGGAGTTGGAATGGTCCGAGGAGACCAGCGAATAGCCAGGGAGTGCTACATGGCCTCGGTGAAGCAGAAAGAGGTTGAAACTATCCAGCTAGATGAGCTTGACATGAGGGACGAGCTGGACACCAGGCCCATACCGTCAGAAGAGCTAGAGCCAGTCTAGCTCGATGAGGAGCCTAAACATATTTTTTACGTGGGATCTAAGTTGAGCAAAGAAATGAAAGACCTACTCACCCAGTTCCTGAGGAAGAACATGGGGGTGTTCGTTTGGAAGGAAGAGGACATGGAAGGCATTGACCCCTCAGTCATTACACACAAGCTAAGTGTGAATCCCATTTGCAAACCTGTTAAATAGAAGCGGAGAAGTTTTGCTCCAGAACACCAGAAGGCAATTAACGAGGAGGTCAGTAAACTCCTCAACGCCAAAGCCATCAGAGAGGTGAACTACCCTACCTGGTTGGCGAATGTGGTGCTGGTCAAGAAGAACAATGGGAAATGGCGGCTCTGCATTGATTTCACTGATATCAATCAAGCAGGCCCCAAGGATAGCTTTCCCTTACCTCGAATCGACTTGATCGTGGATAAAACTGCTGGGCATGAGCTCCTCAATTTCATGGATGCTTTCTCAGGTTATAATCAAATCAGGATCGACCTAGCGGACCAGGAGAAGACTTCATTTGTGACTGAACAAGGAACTTACTGCTACCAGGTCATGCCTTTTGGATTGAAGAATGCTGGAGCCACCTATCAGCGCCTAGTGAATAGAATGTTCCAAAAGCAAATTGGGACATCCATGGAGGTTTATATCGACAACCTGTTGGTAAAGTCACTGAAGGCAGAGCTGCACATCGAGCACTTAGCAGAATTGTTCCAAATCCTCAAGGAGTACAAGATGAAACTCAACCCTGCAAAGTGCGCCTTTAGGGTATCAGCAGGGGAAGTTTCTGGGATTCATAGTCAATAGTAGAGGAATCGAGGCTAACCTAGAAAAGCTTAAGGCAGTTCTGGATATGCGACCACAGTCCAACATCAGGAAGATCCAACGCCTGACAGGAAGGATAGCCGCCTTGAGTCGTTTTGTATCCAAAACAAGTGACAAGTGCCAACCTTTCTTTCAGGTCTTGAATGAGGCTTTTTAGTGGGACACCCAGTGTGAGGAAGTGTTCAAAGCACTAAAGGAGTACCTAAGCTCTCCCTCTGTCCTAGTAAGCCCCTTAAAAGGGGAAATGCTTACTCTTTATTTAGCTGTCTCAGATTTCTCAACCAGCGCAACATTAGTTAGGGAGCGAGACAGAGCTCAGCAACCAGTGTATTATTGTAGCAGAGCTCTAAGGGGGGCAGAGGAGAGATATCCAAAGATGGAGAAGCTAGTTTTGGCCTTGGTGACTACGGCTAGGAGACTTATACCATATTTTGAGGCTCATACTATCGAGGTTCCAACAGATCAGTCAATGAAGCAAGTGCTGCATAAACCAAAGTCTTCAGGAAGGCTAGTTAAGTGGGCGATTGAGCTCAATGAATTTGATATTAGGTATAAGCTAAGGACTGCAATCAAAGGGAAAATTTTGATAGATTTTATCGCAGAATTCACTACAGTAACACCCGCGGAAGCCACATTGCTAATACCTGACCTTCCCATATGGAAACTTTCGGTAGACGGAGCTTCCAATGCCCAAGGAAGCGGCACAGGATTGATCCTGACCTCTCTAGATGGAATAGATGTGAAATATGCCCTTAGGTTTGGGTTTAAGGCTTCAAACAACGAGGCAGAAT